GAGAATGCGGCCCACCTGGATTCCAGGATTCAGGAGCAGAGCATTCTTCGAAGGTTTATTGATGTTGGCGCTTGGAAGCTCTTTCAAAGAGCGCAGCCCTCATCAAGCAATCGTGTTTTTCAGTCGAACGTGGATCGGTTTCTGAAAGATACGGGCGTACAATGCTTCGAAATGGCTGATTCCGTCGTTTATCGGAATATCATTCGCCGCGGGCAGAAATATGAGCGTTTTTGCCAAAAGCTTGTTCTTTTCAATCATCCTGATGATGAGATTGAGCGGACCGGGACTACAGGCCATTCCGAGGCAGATTTGGAAGGCAAAAATGAGATTTTTGGCCCTCTGTTCTTCCCTTCAATTCCAGACGCGATGTAAGTACTTATCCAGCTGCACAATTCAGTTTGCTCACATATTTAGCTCTGATGAAAAAGGAATTCGGGAAAAGGACCTTGAAAAGAGCATAAAGCATCTCAGAGACATTGGTATCTTGGAGAGTTCGAAGAATTTGGGGGCGACTGACATGGCAAAGATTCTACTCGATCACTACCAAAGCTTCTTTTGGGTCGACGAAGGAAAGATATACTCACAGGATGGAGGCCGAGATGAGAATCGGAATACAGTCACTGGTGTTAAACGGAAGAGACGGCAATCCTCATACATCGCCGGCAATGTTAGCCCGAACGCTCGATGGGGCTCTATGGCCAATACCTTGGGAGGACATACTTCCCAATCCAATATTACGGCAGTAAATCTGGATGTGGAGAGACAGGCGTCAGAGATGAGATCTTTTCAGGAACCGCCTCTTCCTCCATTGGTAAGTATGCAACAAGGAGGAGAGCGAGGGTTCAGCTCTACTCATGGTTCGACAGAAAGCCAGCGTCAATCAGAGGCGCCCAGTTTGGCCGCATACTCTACAAACCCTTTCGATTATGGTCCACCAATACCTGCAAGGACTCGGGAACTACACCTTGATGGTGCTGACCCATGTTCCCACCTCCTCATGCAACAGAACACCGGGAGTAGGCTGGAATCGGACCTCCCTTTGTACGATATCACTGATTTCGATTCTGTCTTTTGGAATGAAACTCTGCGCCCAAATCCATTCTGTTGAGCCATGTTTTTTGCGTGATGCAATTGAAATAAGCTAGCTAAGAATCTCTCTTCTCGGCTACTTTCTCTGCTTCCACAACAGATACAAAACATACCCGTCATCAAAACCACCAAACCTCAGCTCAAGTTCTGCTTGGACGCGTACCTTCGTTCCACCTAAGAGAGGATAAATTTCCTTCCCGACTTGAAAATTACAGCCCTCACAAGGAGAGATCGGAATAAGCTCTCCATTCTTAAGCCGAAGAATCCAATCCGATGCACGCGTCCGAAAAGTAGAAACAGAGATGAATTCCTGTCGACATAAGTGTTAGATACATCCTTTGAATCAATGGAAAAAGTGTTTTACCTGAGTGGTGAGTCGCTGTAGAATGCGTCGCAGTTCTTTGTCTTGACATTGTTCGGCGTGCATAATCTTTTCACCCTGCTTCCATTGCGCCTGTGGGTTCTCTCTGATCCATTCCTCCAAATTCGCCAAATCCCGCTGTTCGTCGCTCTCAAGACTTTCCAGGGCAATCCTGTTGCTGTCGGACGCGTTCATGTGGAAAGGTAGGGACTAAAGATCTGATTGGGTTAGCCCACATGTAGATACTGCAGTCGCAGGTAGAATAACGGATTGAAATGGACCTTCTCTATAAAGTGGAATACTGTGTCGCATATGAGTGCGAATTAGTAGCTGTTTCGCTTAACCAGAACCTGACTGTAAGTGGGCAGAATTAAGGTGAATAATTCTAGAGAGGGTAGAAGGCCCCTGCACTTACACAGAGGCTCAATATCTACTAAGCAGAGATATGAGAAACCAAGCTAGCAACCCTCCCACAAAGCAAATCAGAGGTTTTGGGAGTCCCGTGAGTCATGGAGAGGTTGGTGTTTTCCACATCCGTGACCGCGAGAACAAGAGCCCCGCGCGGGCCTGTGTCACGTGACTACTGGAGACTCTTCAAATAAACCGTTGCCGTGCTAGATCAGGAAGATAGATTTCTTCAAAGCTTTCTGGCCTGTTCTGAGGTTGAATTGTCCTGAAATATCTGTGGACTCCCCAAATTATGTTTCCCCTCTCTCAAATCACTCAGTTTTAAACATATGAAGAGATCTCTATTTCAAGCTGGATGCTGGTTTAGAACTCTTCATCGGCCCGTGAAGCCCGCAGCCCAACCCAACCCGCCAATGGGCTGGGCTTTGGGTCCGGTCCTCGGGCCCATAGAGACCACATCTTCTTCGCCGGATAACAGGATGCTCAGCAGTGCAAGCTTTTGTAATCGTATGCACTTTTAGTATTAAAGGTTTGGAACGATTTAGATCGCTACTTACCATCAATTGGTTATGGGCCGAGCCCCAAACAATGCAAACATGTCGATTCTTGGCAACCTTGGAAATGCATCCATGCATACGGAGTAATTGTGACTAAGCAGCACTGACAGCCTTGGAAGTGACTGAGTATAACGTACCATATTCCGGTGTCGTGTATAACTGCAAATAGCCGTCGATTTGTTGAAAAGAATTTGTGGAAAAAAGCAGACAGCCAAGGTTATAAGATTGGCAATAAAAAGATGAGTTTTGATATTATAGACTAGAGCCTTGGAGAGAACAAGCCTACAGTCTACTGAGAGGAATGTACACTATACGCGTATGTAGATGAGTGTAAGCTTTCTGGATATAAGCCTGTGTCAGCGCTTGTCGGTAGCTTGAGAGAAGACACCAGAATGACACTTCAAGAGACAGCAAAAAAAGACACTCGAAAATCCCATCGTTTTAAATATAACTTCAACCATCATTCCCAGCCTTGAAGTTCTCTCTTCCTTATTAAGTTTCTCCTTCTACTGAGGTGGCTTCATTCAAAACTCGGACCACTAAGATCAAGGCGCCGTTGGCACACGCCAGAGCAAATGCTTCTCGCACTTAGGCCCTCGCGGAGACTTTCAGGGTGTCGAGGACGGGTCATGTGACCCCTATGTATTATCAGACCTCCGATATACTCGCTTAGGCTCAAACAGTCATGTCGACCGCCGTGCCCACAGCAGCACTTGCGCACCTCTTTTCCGACAGGACTCTCTTATGTCACCTGGAGCAACAATGCCAGGTATTTTTCCGGTTAAAGAACTCGCACGCCATCCGCTCGATACAGGATGGGTTCCGGTGCTGTGGTCTTAGAAGTCTGCACGATAGGGCATGGCCTTTCAAGGACCAGAACCACGGGGAAAACGCGTGTAAATTCCAGCCTGCATATAAGAGTTGCCTTACTACTCGGAGTGAGCACCAGCGAAGTGCGGCCTGGATGATTTTTGTAGCGGCTGTGTTTGCTTTCGCGGCTAAGCTGTGTTGGCTCTTACTGCCCTGTCACATTGGAGTCTTTCTGGTAGTGACCGATACTCGGCAATTCTCCGCAGATTGCATTACTTCGATTTTTCGCCTACCAAGTGAGCTGACTGAGCACGCAACCTGCCAACAGGAGGCCCAGTTTCCAGCGGATTTCACACCAGGCAGTGCAGCAAGAAGGGGAAAGGGAGAGCGGTGTCGAGGAAGGGGCACGGGGGACGCTGTTACCCTAGTCAAATATCGATCACAGCAATGATTAGGACGGGAATCAAGTTCCAAAAGCTTGCTTTTCAACTAAGAAATAAGCTACGAGGGGCGCGAATCCTAAATATCTTATTTGAGCAGGGCCAGCACAACGAGCATTAGTGTCGACAGCAAAACCAGAGTGATAGTTCTGCTGACGTGATAGAAATCTGTCCCTTTGATGCTAGAGTATACATTATTATCTAAATTTTGACAGAAAATTCTCGGTGAAGCCACATATCCCATATGAACTACATAAATATCATTTAGCCAAATATATCGACTACCTTGAAGCCTTCCCTTAAGATAATTTCCTCATGTTGCTGAATATGGACGTACTTCAGCTTTCTGAAATCCCAAGGAGAACAGATTCACCAGAATCGAGGTATATACATGATCTTAAGAATAAGGGGAGGTATATCAGGTATCAACTTTCATGGATGCTGGGTATGTTCATGCTTGAGAGATCTAACGCCTGATATATCTTTTGCTGCAACTTTTACAAGAAAATTTCCACGCCACCATGAGTGCGGTATACCTAAACATGGTCGTGAAAACATTTTCCCAGTGATCTCCAGGGGAGTAAGTGGTACTTCGAGGAAAGATCGGTACGTGATGGCAGGGAGATGTTGAGTCTAGTGTTACAACGGTATCTATCACTCGGTGATGTCGACAATGAACATAGGGCATGTATTGGATTAGCATGTGTGAATGGAGATCTGGACACGCTCGAGGCGATGTTAAAGACAGAGACACTACGTAATCACCAAGTCGAATATTAAGCCGCCATCAGCTCCGATCGAGTATGCCCTCTATCTTTGCGACATAAAATACAGCGAACACAGTGCCGTAGGCAAGGCATCAAGGAAGTCTGGTGGAGGTGCTACTCATCGTTCCCCCACATGACGTGATTGGGATACACGAAACATTGAACAGCGATGAGATCATACTTCGGCATATGGAGAAAGGCAAACTGCCAAAATGCCGTAGGTATGAAGATGACTGGGTGACCACTACGGCGCCGATGTCTGTCACCTTCCGCTCAATGTCATTGCGGGCGATGTCCATCTAGTTTAGACTTACCACCAGTCGAGAATTGTTGCCTTATGTGGCGCATTGAGCTCCATTAAATACACCGAATTCGCCGCTCGTGAGCCACGTGTGCGCAGAACTGGCTGGTGCAGCAATTCGATGCCGACAGAAGATGACGCTTGGCATTTTGAAAAGCTTGTGTGTTTTGACGCGAGGGACTTCGAATGTGCAGGCTAGTGGCAGAAACGCGTCATTATCATGTATTATACGATTGTTGTAGAAAATACAACTTAACAAAATGCCTCTCATAGAACACGTCGCCGCTTTCCATCTCCTGACGTGACTCGTGCGGGCGTGACTGGCAATCGCTTTGCTCGTGCTCGCGTTGCTTTTAACTTCTTATTCAATGTATATCGGTGAAAGTCAATTATTAACGCCCTCCCAAGCTCGTTGTTCCACAGGACGTTATCAAATCGAAGGTCTCCGTGGACGATCCCCAAGGCTTTGATTTCCTTGAACGATTTGCGAATGTGCCCAAGAAGCTCTGGGGTTTGCTCCATCGTTGCAGTGCTCTCCCCTCCCCAACCCATGATGAGCATGTGACGTATATCACCGGCCCCATGAAGAAAATAAATTTTTGCTAAGTCAATGGTACCCAGGAAAACAGGTACTGCAGCTGCTTGGGCCTTTTGCAGAATTTGATATACCTGCGCCTCCCGGGAGACTTCTTTCCACAGACCCGACGTGGTCCCTTTTCCTAGAACAACATAGCCGGACTTAGCACAGGTGAGTTTGAACGGCGCACCGTACGCTCCACAGTTTCCGAGAGGGACGCATCGGTCAATGTTCTCGTCCAGCTGCGCTTTGAGTAAATCCATCAAATCCGCCGGGGTGATGGCGTGTTTCATGGAATCTCGAGCACCGCGATGTAGCTTCACGTTCGGGCAACAGTCGTCTAGGATACCTCCTGTCTGCAGCCCTGATAAACATCGCTGGGTGCAGAATTGTGTATCAGCAGGTGTAGAATGGCCGCCTTGATCCGGTCTAGATTCGCGTTGACGAGCCGCTCGTTGAGCGGAAGGGGGGGATGTGATCTGACTGAAGCCCCGTTTGCGTCCGGTCGCTTGATTGGAATCGGACCCTGATGATTCTGGCGACTGCAACCGGTGTTGGGAATCTGAGGGCACACAACTGGCTCGAGACCTCGTGGTCACGCGGCGACCCGTTGTTGGAGATTCCAGCGGAGGCGATGATGGTTCGTAATTTGAACTCGGTTCTGGACTCACGTATTCCGAGTTGGTACTGTCGGAGTGCAGAGCAATTTGCTGCATGGTTGCCTCGGGTATCTGAGAACGAGCGTGGTCGAAACTGGTTGACCATAAAGGAAGTCGTGACCGTGCAGAATTTCTCCATTCATGGCCACGAACAGGGGAATTGAACGCCATCAAACACAGACACAAAACCCTGGCGACGGACGTGTTCGGCTCTGAGAGACTATGTTCGCTGTTCGGGTCACAGAAGAAGTAGTACAATGTGCTAGGATCATCGTATGGAACACGAAGAAGGACACGAGCGACCCCATTAGTGACATAAGAGTACTCGAGTCCCTCTTGAATCATCACATGGTATTCCTGGACGATAGCGGAGCACACGAGCCGCTCTGCGTTGTATCTCAATTTCTCGGCTTGGTCCGTCGGAATTTTGTTTGATCTGACCAGGTATTCCCACAAGTCCATTTCCCTGAGCCCCACCCGGAGGGCTTCGACGGGGAGCTTATGAGGCGGCTTGTACTCGACCGAAGTGAGGAGGGTGTCGGTGCTTCCGTCGACTCGGTGAACACAGAACTGATCAGGTCGGGGGTGGCGTATGTCTGATGGCTGGTCTGCATTTGTGTCGCGAGCGCGGTGCGGATCAAATGAGTTGGTGTGATTGTCAAACCAGATTCCATCTCCAAGCGCAAACTCGTCTCGGGCAGCGTCGATTTTGCATAGTTCTGCAATTATATCACGGACGTGATCTTCCACGGCGGTTCGCTCATAGTTCTCGAGGCCTTGCTCACTGTTAATTGGTCGGAGACCCAATCGTCGACCGTCCTCCTCAAGCGCAATCAGGGGGGTAAAGAATTCAGCTCGGCCTTCCTCGGTCGGCTTGAGATAGTCGCATACAGAGCTGTATATTTTCTGCTGTCGAGCTGCACAATTGGTCCATGGTGCTAGTCGGGTGGGACAGTATTTTCCTGTGGGAAGCGGTATAGTTCCTGTAGTCGAGCGAGACGGGGTTTCGAATTTCAACGGTCGGGAAAGTAAGCTGTGGCAGAAGTGGAGGAGTTCAGCGAATGTCGTTCGTCTATTGCGCTCTGTTTGCTTCTTCTCTCGCTCTTCGGCCTGCTTCTCTCGCTCTTCGGCCTGCTCACGTCTCTTTGATTCTTGTTTCTGATCCTCTTGTGCCTGCAGAAAGAGCTTCTTATAATCGGTGGGACTCGTATTGGCCATTGGGCTGTCGAAAGGGAAATGGGGGTTGCGACCTTGAGCTAGCTTATCAGCATATCCAAATTTCGGCGAAGGTATCATCCGGAGCTCCTCGTCTCAGGAGTATCAGCTGATAAACAAGACACGAGATGAGGAACAAGACCGATGGAGTTGAGAAGTTGCACTCTGGCAATCAAACGAACTGACATGGGGGAATACGCGCATCAGTGGACGCAAGTTCGGCTTACTCACCCCTTGGCTCTATTCGATCTGTGCCTCAGGCAACAACACCCCTTGCTCATACGGGCTTTAGTCATCCGTTCCAAAATACACGTTGACTCGACAGAGTAGTCTTCAATATATCAATAAATTCTAAGTTTTCAAGTAACACTGCCACTATCTTGTTTCGTTCCACCAATCAAACTTTCACTCTTCGAAACTTCTATCTCCATCTTCATTTTGATAAAAAAGCTGTGTTTCTACACACATGAATGCGGTGAAAGTCTAATTCCAGAGGCCTGCTATATATCTTGCTGACTCTTGTTGCTGTTTATTACTGCATAACACTACAGCAGCAGCTACCGTGGAATTAGATGATATATGAGCTACCAGAATACCACACAGGAGCGCACTAGAAATGGACCTGCTTTTGGTACTGCTTTTCAGTTCGATGGCTCCACCTATTCAGGCAATAGCACGATATAGATGAACAGCTTCGACATATCGCTATGCGGCATAATAACTTTCTTTATAAGCAGGACTATGTGAAAATACGATTACCAGATACAGATAACTTGTACAAGAGCATATCGAATTTGCACTTTCTAATCATTCTCTTCAATAGAAAGTCAGTAGTTCAATAACCAAAAAAGAACAACGACGCCTTGATGAACAGAGCTCATGACAAAGCTTCCAACAAGGAGATGCCACTTCAATCAGGATGGAAAGTATATCAATAGAAGGGTAAATGGTACGCAGCAATCTTATGCCCACATAATATCTCCTGATATCGCTTTATTTCTATTTGTATTGACCGGTGGGCTTATATATAAATTGTGGAAAGCTCCAACCGTCACAATCACACAAGCTAGTACTCGACCAGTCGAGGCATTGAAACTTGATCATCTGTTGAATATCAGATATGCTGACTCACAGCGCTAGAGCGTACTGTACCTGTTCATGGCATCCCGTGTCACCAAGAAATATACCTGTGAAATCCATGGCACACATCGTTTCTTCCCCACCTGTTAGCACGAACAGTGGCCAAAGCAGATGAATTAGGGCCTCTTGGACCACTGAAATCACTCATCGTGCTGTAGTGAATGTACCCACTCTTTTACCACTATAAGACGGGGTATGAAAGATGAAATTGTACTGAAAGATTTATTCGCAGCTAGAGTAAAATGCGGATCTGGCCGAACCTAGTGGGCTGCAGTTTAGAAACCAACTATTTCGGCAATATGCAGGCTACCACGACGAGCTTGAGTACCCCTTGTTGAACTACTTGGTCCTTCTCCATTCAACGTAGTGCTCAAGGGCGGAAAAATCCGATCCCAGAAGAGTACGGAACTCTTCTCCGGCACCCTTTTGGTTTGACTGTAGCTTCAACTGCGTTGGCCACTCTTCTACAATTGTGTTGCATGATTTGAAAACGACTTGGAAGTCGGCGGCGAATGTAGTGAACCCGTGAATTTCCATGTACCTGTTATCTCGTCAGATCTTTCGCATGCAGGCAATATCCAATGTGACATATCTCGATTGTCAACCTACTTGTGAAAATATTCTTTGACCTCCATCACCATTGCTCGCGCGTCCCATAGTCTAATCATGTCTGCGCTTTGTGGCCTGGCAAACGAAAGCCAGTCTGGCTGGGGCAAATATTCCATGAGCAGCTTCACATTTGAAACAGAGTCCTTTTCATCTTTCGCTTTCGCAATCTCCATCACTGCATTGAGAAACAATGTGATGAGTGTGGCATTTTGATTGCTCTCGGGTGGCTCCAGAAGGGGAACCATTGCTGCAAGTGTCCTCCGTATCCCGAGGTATCCTGTGTCGGCAATGTTGGAGACCTTAAAAGTACTTAACGAAGAGATTATAGAGCTATCACTAATTGGTACTAACCTCAATCCGCGCATAATGATCCTTTGGAAGATACAACGCAAGCTCCTTTGCATCAGTGTTGAACATTTCAAAATCGACAGTCATAATAGCAAGCCGGTCGAGAAACTTCTTCACCACTTTCCGGAGGTGCACAAACAGCTTGCCATACACATCTGCAGCAGCACTGGTCTTTGTACCATACACGTCCTGGATGGACCATCCTGTCAAAGGATCTGCTTTGTCATCCATTGGCCAAGTTCTTCTATCATAAAATAACGTTCTGCGAGTGTTAGCAAGCAAGATCGCCTGATAGCGAATTGTACCTACGGATTCGGAATATGAAATCCGATGCGCGAGTGCCCGAACGGTAAAAGCAAGCCATCCTCCCGAAAACGCTGTCTCGCGACTCGTATCGGAGGTGACAGCTCTTTGAAATGCCACCTTTCCCGGTAATCCTTTCTCTGAGGCGCAAGCGTGACTGAGACACGAATGGCTTTGGCCTTTTCGTATGATAATGTCTCGGGAACCTCACAAAATTCTTTCATCTTCAGCCATTTCTCTCGTCGAAGTTCAACACGCAAACTTCTTTGGGATGAAAAATGCCACGTCTTGCTCATCAACATGCCAGGTTGCAAAGTGGAGGCCTCGTCGCAAGCATCGCTAATGAGAGGTCTGACTCTGTTTTGTAAATGACCCAATACTCTTTCTGAGATAAAAGAAGAATACCAAAGATGAATCAAAGCTTCAGAGATCTCCTGGACATTGGCTGTCCCAGACGAAGCCGCTTCACTCGCGCCAAGCGCTAGAAGAAGCAAAATAACATTCCTCAGAACAACCACATGATCTCGGTCATTGATTGAAATATGGAAATGTTGTTGAAACGACTCGGGAAGATCTGCGATGGTTTTCATCACGTTTCGCAAATCTCCCGAGGCTATGAAGTTACCGTTAATCTCGGGCGACTGGCTTCAACGCAAATAAAAAGACTAACCAGCAAATAAGAGCGCAATGTTGTTTTGATAAAGGAGACCCTCGTTTCTCTCAAGTTGCAGGACATCCATGGCTGGTGCGTTTCCCCACAGATAACGGAGATTCCCGAAGGTGTTGTGGAAATTTTGCGAGGCTACGGTGGTAGCCCATGCAGGATCACGAGCTTCAAAGTCCCATGCAGGACGCCAGTCCACTTTGTTCAGGGGGGATTTGCAAGCCTTTTTGTGCATAGGCCAGTGGTGCTTCTGACACTCTTTCCCACAATACTTATTTTATCAGAATCCAGCGGCGACCTGGGGCGGAAGAGACGGGTAATAAACTGACAGTAACGAGTGTACAGCCACTGCAGGTAGACCTAGCTTCATTCCCACAGACTGAAGTATCCGATGTTGAATTTGCACAAGGCAATAAGTCTGGTCCATTGTCTTTCATTGTTAGCTTATGTTAAGGGATGGATATATGAATCTCTGAAAAAAAAAACGTGATGTAGATGCGTGGGTTCCAGAGATATTCAGTGCTACACTGGGTTTGACGCGGGTCTTATGACTAGGTGCCATGCCAAATCCTTGAGTATCAAACTTACAACTCTAGACAGATGCGGAAGTGGCGGTCAAGAGATAAAATGGCGTGCTGCGGATGCGATGATAAAGATACGCCTAGTCGGTTGTACCAAGGTCCGTATCTTGAGGGTGTGGTGGGGCGTGAATGAAGCCCCCTGCGGAGGCATATTGCAGCCCGATCGTTATTTTCTTTCGGGGATAGCTCCGCTGGTTCTAGCTTAGGGACGTGGCAATTGGCAAAGTATAATCAGCAAAGCGGACTTGACATAAACCGTGCATGCATGTGATTCTCCTATAAACGCTGGACACGGTCGGTGGCATACTGCTCAACCCAGCAGTTGAGTTCTTAACCATGGCGGGTAAAAGTGGGACTATATTGATCTTATCGTGGGTTGAGCTTTTCTTCTAACCTTGATTAAATAACTAAAACTTTGTCTACTTTTAAATCTTCGGAAATTGAATCTCTAAAGTATAACATAATTTTTCGGAGACGTACCAATTAATTTGCTATTACACAGAGATACAGTATGGACATCTTAAGAAGTTGTCTACTGGATATTGTTCTCCGATAAAAGTTCCAAACCTTGCTACTATATTAATCCGCTAGCTCCACTGATGCCTGATATTTCCGAATAAAACTGTAGTGAGCAACCAACTAACATGAGTCACAGCTGCGTGGGAAGAGCTGTGATCATAAACTTGGGAACACAAAAACAAAGCTAATCTCCAAGTGATTTATTACATTCAGAAGCACGGGAAATTACCTTCCTCCCGACGGCCAGTAGATCGAAGAGCTGTCATTGTCTGACGATGTTGTTGCAGCATGAATGGCCTCCCGCATGAATGGCCTCCCGCATGAATGGCCTCCCGCATGAATGGCCTCCCGCATGAATGGCCTCCCGCATGAATGGCCTCCCGCATGAATCGCCTCCCGCATGAATCGCCTCCCGCATGAATCGCCTCCCGCATGAATCGCCTCCCGCATGAATCGCCTCCCGCATGAATCGCCCATATTAAACTCCCGTCTAACTATGCTTCGCATAAGTCTCATGCTTTAACGACGCTTCCTCCGTTACATAATACATCTTGTTATCAACAAACATCCTGATTTGTCGCTTCTCTTCTCCGGGCATTCGATCGTACTATACGCTTGGCTTGATTTGAATGTCATCTTTATGAGCCTTGTATTTTGATAATATTTGAAGACGAATCCTTATCGAGCACCCTGGGGACTCCGACTAGCTATGCCTACAAAGAACCTGAGAGTTGGGGGTGTGCCAGGGCGCTACAGTTTACCCGAATGAGCCCATTGAGGACGAGGACAAGAGGCGGCTTTCCTTGACTCTTTCTCCCACGCAATGAATACTCCTACGCTAGCTTGTTAATGTAAGCAATTTTTGAGCTTCTGAAAAGAACAACCCAACGGGTAGTCGGTTCCTCGAATTTCGCACC